CACACATATCCGACCTTACTCTAAAGTTAAGCCATTCCAACAGGATGTTAGCTTTAAAGTTCGACACTATGTTAACTTTGAAATACCGCTCTCTATATATTAACTCAATTTTTGGTTCACATTTACGATACGCATGTCAAGTTTGGGGACAATCTAAAACCGTATGTCTCTCTAGAGTTGCTTCACTTCAAAATAGAGCGGTACAGATTATTCATTTTTTATCCAAGAAATTTTCCCTACTGACATCCTATATCTTACATCCAAAGATCTTTGTTTCTATGACTTAATTCAGTTCTTAAATTGTTCATTTGTCTTGGATCAACAACATGGTGTCCTTCCTACTATATTTCACAACTACTTTAATAATAGAACAACATGTGGGCATAACCTAAGATCAGTCACTTATAACATCTTAACTCTCCCACTAAAACAGACAAGTAAACATGGAATTATTTCCACTACATACCAGTGTATCCTTTCTTGGAACTCCCTTCCGAACACCCTAAAATCAGGTCTCAGGTCCTTAGGTTCAAGAATCTATTTTTAAAGTCACTCCATCATTTCTACCTAAAAGGTTACGCTTAACTTTACTTTTTATCTTTTTAATTTCTTCCTTTTGACTTATTTTTTTATTTTTGTTATAGTTTATTATTTTATTATAATTTTATTTCTTAGATTTTATTTTATATAATCATTTTTATTATAATTTACTTATTTTATTATAATTTTTGTTCAAGTATATATTAATTATGTTATATATATTCAAAAAGTCTGATTTCTTGGTATAATTAAATAAATTTTTATGCAATTTTACTTCTAGTTAATATTATCTTAACTTATATGGTTTTATTTATTACATATTATTATCATTATTATTATTATTTTTATTATTATTATATTTTATCTTATTTAGGTCATTGCGCTTTATAAATGTATCACTATTTGCAATGACCTGTGTTTTTGTAACATCTGTAACACGAAATATATTATTGTTATTGTTGTTGTTGTTGTTGTTGTTGTTGTTGTTGTTGTTGTTGTTGTTGTTGTTGAAAACAGTTTTTCCGCAAGACCAAGAGCAACTTTGAAAAATTATTTTAGTATTACAACTTTTTAATACTTATTTGACCCCCTTCCCCCATTAATTTTTTAAATAAATAATTTCGAAGAAATGGACTGAAAAAATGAAAAAAAAAATATAAAAAAAAAAAAAAATAAAAGCTCCTTAAAACTGTTTCGGGGTAGTACTGCCCCCCCCCCCCCATATAGTTTTCCATGTACATCTTACGTTTATGCGTATTGTCTTATTTTCATTAAGTTGAATTTTTAAAATGCTGCAAAATATTTACAATCTTTTGAAATATTTTTGACGAAAAACTGCTATCACAGTTTAGGAGGGAGAGGGGTTCAGGTATATGTCATCGTTTGTGACTGGAGGGAAGGGGTTAAAAATTGACAAATATAGGGTGACGTGCTTTATGGATGACCCATAATAGCATTTACAAACGATTTGTTTTACTAAAAAAAACATTAAAAAATACTGATTTGTTTTTTGTATTAAGATAATAGCAATTAAATCTTTTTTTTTAATGTCTAAATACAAATTTTTATACAATTCTTATTTTTATTTATTTATGTGTATTTGTGTAAAATAAAATAAGAATACATAAACAACTAAAATAGCAATAATATAAATAAATTTAATTAACATTGAAAAAAATAAAATATTTTTTTCTAAATTCTCCTAATACAGTTAGAACCATTTCAACGAAATAATAATTACTTTATGACGTAATTCATTTTATTAACGAAAAAGCACCAGAACTTAAGTAAATGTTTGTAGATTTAACTTACGTAACACAAATTTAAAATAAAAATGTGCTCTAGCTACCTAGTGGGAAAAAAGAGATCTTTTGACGAATAAAAGGCGTCTTTTTTATGACTTGTTATGTCTTTTTATAATCAGCTAAAATAAAGACGTAGAAAGCCGTCTTTTAAAAAGACGTCTTCATAAAAGAGGTCGAAAAGACGTCAATCGGTTGTTAATAAGGAAATCAATATTTGCTTGAGAAAATTAAAAATAATTATTGCCAATAGAACCTAACAAAGATGGGTTTTAATTCACAGTATCGTAATTACGATATCTTTGTTACGTTCTGATTGGCCCTTTTTTTGTTTACAAAATACTTTTATATAACTTTTTTTTATGTGAAACGTTTTTGCATAGGAAATTTAATATAAATTATTTTTTTTTGGTAAGCGGGTTTATTTAATTATTTATATAATAAAGTAATATATTATGTAAAATATACATAATATAAGTTGCATATATGTAATATAGTATATATATATATATATATATATATATATATATATATATATATATATATATATATATATATATATATATATATATATATATATATATATATATATATATATATATATATATATATATATATATATATATATATATATATATATATATATATATATATTTAATGTTCTTGTTCCAAAATAGGGGGTGATTTTTAATTGATGTTCTTTAGATATATCAATTTAGTTTGACTTTTTTGAATTTTAAAAGCTTTCAGGTTATATTTTGCAATGTACAATCTACGAACTTGTATGTAAAATGTTAGATGATCATGCATACTTAGCTGCAAGCAAATAGGATAAACACTGCTCATTATACAACTTAGACATGTTAGAATTAAAACCAATTGTAAAATTAGAGTTACCAAAAACATTCCCACTAAGTCACAATAGAATGCTTTGTTTAGTAATGTAGAGGGATACATGCTTAAATGTTATAAGTTCATTGATAAAAGAGGTACCAGTCAGATAAACAAAGACAAGTTTTTTCAGAAAAGGTTTGCAGAATCGATTCTACAAAATATTTTCTGAAAAAAACAATTTCTTTCATGTTTTGAAAGCATTCTTGTTTTGAATGCTACTTCATGTTCTTTTGTTTTAATCAGCGGTAAAAAATTTCAGCATTTCAATCAAATGAATCAGTTACATTTTTACTAGGAACTAAGCTGTAACGACTTCTTCTTGAAATAATTGAAATATTTATACTTGCTTTCAACTTTTAATGTCAGCTTGTAGCAAAGTTCCAATCTATCTGAAGCAAGCTTTACTGCAATCTTGATTAAATAATTATAAAATCTAATAGGATGAAGAATAATCTTTGCTTTCTTTTATTCTTTACTAAATGTTTATCAGTAATCTTGTCCTTGTGCTTGGCGTTAAGGTGACGAGTCACTGTATGATATACATCGTTTCTTGCAAAACAAACACATAAATATTCTTTCTTCACTTTGGTTAGGATAAAATAAAATAGGTAGTCTAATGTTTGAACTAAAATTGAGATCTGCCTCCAGCAAATAGCAACTCAATAGCAGCTAAAATAGCATTGAATTCATTCAAATTTTCAAAGTCTGTGCTACAAAAAGTCATTTTAAAAACATTTGATGCACTCTCAGTCCGGTCACCCCTTAATGCTCAAGTTATTGTACGAAATCAATAGAAAACGGCCCGCGTTTCCAGACTAGTTAAATACTATGACTATGGTTTAACGGAACTTTTGTCTGAAATTTCATTACAATATATCTAAGTAAAGAAATGACAAAAACCTTATTTAAATTTTTAAAAATAAAACTAATACTAAAAAAAAGCATTTATTTTTAAAAGTTTATATTTTTAAAGAACTTTTTTATTAATGTAGTTAAAAAAATTTTTTTTACTGACGCTCCGTAAAGCTTAACGGAGAGATGAGAATACGGCCCCTGATTTTACAGCATAAGCTGACTAAATTATTGTTTTTTTTTAACGTAATATATTTTCATTGAAAAGTCGTATGCTATCGACACTCGTAGTCCGTGGCTAATTGCTTTTTGCTTTGTGGCTGTACTTATTTCCCAGTCTTTTTATGCCCAGCTATTTTCAAATCAAAAAGAAAAAACAATTAGACATTTCTTGACATCCAATATAATGACATTGTTGCAACCTCTGATCAAGATCATCTATTTAATATTTTGCTAAAACTTTTTCAAACGAAAGAATAACAACAATACCGACATTTAACCTAACATATAAAAGTGTAAACCCACTTTCAAACAATATTGATTTAAGTCCAAAAAATATTGAAACATACCTCCAAAATCTAAATGCATCTAAATCACCAGGCCCTGACAAATTACACCCAATAGATTTTATAAAAACTTGCTCTCAAATGTCTAAACATTTATTTACTATTTTCAACAAAGCCCTTGAGAGTGGATCAATAGCCCAAATATGGAAAGATGCAACAATTTCACCCATATTCAAAAAAGGAGACAGATCTAAAGCAATTAATTATAGACCTATCAGTATAACTTGTACCTCAATAAAATCTTTGAAAAAATTATAAAAAATATATTATGACACACCTGATTAACAATAACTTATCAAGTCCACACCAATTTGGATTTCGTCCAGGTCATTCCTGCTTAACTAACCTTTTAACTGTAATTAATTATTGGTCATTACCACTTGATAAGAATATTCCCATCAACAACATTTATCTCGATTTTGAAAAAGCCTTTGACAAAGTTCCACATAAATTTCTTATTTCTAAACTTAAAGCTTATGGTATAAATGGTTCAATACTATATTGGATAACAAACTTTTTGGAAAACCGTAGATAAAGATTTATTACAAACGGTAATTATTCCGCCTGGGTTTCTGTTAAAAGTGGAGTTCTCCAAGGCTCTGTCCTTTCAGCGTTACTCTTTATTATATATGTCAACGATATCCCTGAATTAATCAAATCAAAAGCTGCTCATTTTGCTGATGATACCAAAATCTTCCGATCTATTGAAAGTACCCAATCTACGCAAGAATTACAAAATGACGTTGACGCTCTTGTTTTATGGTCTTAAAAATGAGGAATGAAAATTAACATTGATAAATGTTCTGTAATACACTTTTGACAAAATAGCAAATCACATACTTATAATATGCATGATCCAGAACAAAATATAAGAGTAAACATTAAACCCACAAATTGCGAACGAGATTTAGGCGTTCAAAGAGATTCAAACTTGTTATTTTCAAAACACACAACTATTCAAGTTAACAAAGCAACACAAATAATAGGAATAATAAAAAGAACATTTACATTTTATCAAGATTTATCATGCTTCAAAAAACTATTTACAGCTCTAGTCCGTCCGCACATAGAATACTGTGGAACAGTTTGTAACCCTGTACTTCACAAAGACAAACGACAATTAGAAAGTGTTTTAAGAAGAGCTTCAAAAAGAATTAAAGAGTTATATGACCAATCATATAAACAAAGATTATTGGCCCTAAATATGACAACTGTTAAATATAGGCTACTTCGCGCAGATCTAATTAACGTTTATAGATGGTGCAAAGAAAACAATGGTGATAGAAGTCTGTTTGAAATTGATAGCCAATTTATTACTCGTGGTCATATCTATAAACTAAAAAAACATTCTTTCTGATTAAATTTACGCATTAACTTTTTCTCTCTAAGAATAGTTAATAAATGGAACTCTCTTCCTAACGAGATTGTAACCGCTTTATCAATAAAATCATTTAAGCTACTCCTAGACAACCATTTAAAAAATGAATGGCTTCTCTATGACTAATCTGCATTTATTTTATTTTAGTAATAAAATTTCTATAGTTTTCAAATATTATGAGACCAGGTTGACAGGCAATTTCCCGTACGAAAATTTCCCATGGGAATTTTAGAAAAAAAACCCATGGAAAAACCATGGGTATTTGGAACACGTTCCCATGAAAAAACCATGAGTTTTCCATGGAAAAACCATGAGTTTTCCATGGAAAAACCATGAGTTTTCCATGGAAAAACCATGAGTTTTCCATGGAAAAAACATGAGTTTTCCATGGAAAAACCATGAGTTTTCCATGGAAAAACCATGAGTTTTCCATGGAAAAACCATGAGTTTTCCATGGAAAAACCATGAGTTTTCCATGGAAAAACCATGAGTTTTCCATGGAAAAAACATGAGTTTTCCATGGAAAAACCACGAGTTTTCCATGGAAAAACCATGAGTTTTCCATGGAAAAACCATGAGTTTTCCATGGAAAAACCATGAGTTTTCCATGGAAAACACATGAATTTCCCATGAAAAATCTTTAAGTTTTTCATGGAAAAGTGTTCCAAATACCATGGATATTCAATGATTTTCCATCCATGGAAAAGCCATGGAATTTCCATAGGTATTAGGAACACCTTTCCAATGAAAACTTATGGATTTTTCATGGTAAAAAAGCATGATTTGTTTTCAAGTTTTTTATCTAATGTTATTTGAATTGTCATATTAAATCATAAAAGCAAATTTTATCCCACTATTATTGAGTTCTCTTAATCTATGAGATCGCTTTCTTCAAATAAAATCAATAAACAAAATAAAATTTAAATCTTGTTAAATCCTACAAATCTTTGAAAAATAATAGCTATAATGCACCTAAAACATCAAAACTTGACTTCCACACAATATTTAATGCATGCATATGTATAACATACTGAAAATAAATAAAACAAAAAATTACAAGTAATATAATACTATAAGTGATATACATAGTGATAAACAATTGAAATTTATCAAGAAAACAATTTTTACAAAAAATAAAACAATTTACATGTTTATTATTTTATATTAACTATTTGATAAAAATAGTATATATAAATTTGATAATAACTTCAAGTTTTAACAAGTTAAAAAGAACCATCAATACAACATATTTAATTCAAAAAAACATCAAGCCCATTTATAAATGCGTCTGTACTGTATCTGTAGAAACAGGTAGATGTTAAACAAAGTACCATTCACATATTAATATTCATTTTTTTTCACCCTAGTTAGTCTCATTCTCCATTTCACCAATCTAGACAATACATCATACAACTATTATATACATTCTAACTAGTTTTCTTTATTTACTAATTCATTTTACTTATAATTATTATCTATTATAACTTACTTTATAATTAGGCATTATACACAATTATGAATGTTGCCAAATGTTAGGTATATAGAAAAAAGTAGCAATGAATATATCATTATTTATAAATGCAAATTATTAGATTGTTACCTCTTTTTTGCCTAAGCTATCTGCATTATGTACAACATCGTTTATATTTCCAGTCAAACATTCCTGCCTATAATGTAACTTTATTAAAATGATTTATTCAAACTAATACATATATAAATGTTACCTGCATGTTAGAAACATTTATATAGAACAAGGCAGCAACAAATATTATATTATATATTTACTTTTGTAATTAAAAAAAAAACTTACTTCTTCTTCTGAGCTATCTGCATGATGTACAACATCATTTACAAACCTGTTTTCTTCACGTCCTTCCATTTTTTAATATATTATAAAGCACAGGACTTGTTAATGAACGGCTAAATAAATAAATTAAAAATTTATATTTAAATGAAATGATAAGGTTAAAATGAAAAGATTTATACACATATATAAATTTTACCTGCATGTTAGTAACATTTATATAGAATAAGGCAGCAACAAATATAGTATAACTTATAAATTGTAATTTTAAGTAAAAACTTACTTCTTTGTCTGAGCTGTCTGCATGATGTACAACATTATTTATATTGTCAGTCAAACTTACCTGCTTATAATGCAGTAATTTAAATAAAATGATAAAGTTAAAATAAAAGAACTTACGCACATACCATTAAATTCAAAAATTTATTATATTTTTACTTCACTATTTAAAACATAACAAATATGTAATTTATAAAGTATAGTAATGTAAAAGCATAGTAAATATCAAAGTGTGTGCAAAAATTAATTTATTTTAACTAAAGACGAGCACTTTACATCAGTTAAATATAAACAAATAAAAATAATTGTATTATAATAAATAATAGTGTATTATTTATAAACATTGCTTTTATATGCTTATATTTAACTATGAAGTAAAATCTTGTGCATTAAGTAAATTCCCTTACTGATACTTATAAAATATTACCACAGTTTTCCTTCTCCAACTAAGTGGTTCTTGGAACATCCTTACAAGTTGAATCCCAAAGATTACGTTTATATCTTTTCTGGTTTAAACTCAATTCACCATTTTATTTTGACAGCTTTTGAACTATTTTTAAAAATATTAAATGCATATAAAAACTGACGATGTTATAAACAATATAAACGATGAACAACATTATTTATATTGCCAGTCAAACCTGTTGGCTTATAATGTAGTAATTTAAATGAAATAATAAAGTAAATATAAAAGAATTTATAAACATTATTTATATTACATTATTTACATATTCTAATAATTCTAAAGAAAAAACTACAACAAAAAGACAAAAACAACTTAACAGAACTAAAATTGAATAGAACATTTATCATAAAAAAATGTTTTTTAATACTTAATGAACATTTACGATACAATAAACTTCAAGCATTTTTATGTAATCTAAGGCTATTATAAAAAAAAAAATAAAAAAGATCATACTAGTTATCTTTTGTACATTAGTTATCTAATCTTATTATCTTAGTTATCTAATCTTATCTAATATACTGCTTGTATATTAATATTTTAAATAAGTTTCTTTAATACGTTCGATAAATTTTATAATAATAATTATACTAGTTTGAATGTACATTAAATTACACTATGTACATTAATACACTAGTTATTTAATGTAGATTAAAACTAAACATTTATTTGTTGTAAACCAAATAATAATTATTTGGCAAATAATTTGCCAAGTAGGCATTAAAATTCAAACTGGTTTACTTGACATACTTGCTATACTATTGCAAGTTATGCAAAGTAAGCAAAGCTACTGGAAACAGTTAAAATAAGTATATGCATAAATGATATATAATAAAATATAATTAAAAATAATCCCTTTTATAATGCATTATAATATGATAAATATATCTAGTTGTTTATGTCTGTATGTTTAGTTAAAACATATAAATGTATTGCATTATAAAAAACATATAATTCATAGCCTTATTAAACACAGAAAAACAGAAGAATGCAGTAAGTATTGTTTTCTAATTTAAAAATAATCATAACTCTACGAGCTATGACGCCATCTTTAAAAGCGCATTTGTAACAACCATGGCGCAGCTTAAGCTATGAAAAAAAAACATGGTTCACCCATGGAAATTCCATAGGATTTCAATTTTCATGAAATTTACCCATGGAAATTCCATGGAATTCCCGTTTTTCATGGGAAAACCATGGTTTACTCATGGAATTCCATGGGTTTTCCATGGAATATTTCCGTAAGGGTTATGCCTATACAATTTATTTGAAATTGAATAATTAATTGTAAAAAAAAAAAAAAAAAAAAAAAAAATAAGCAAAGGGCCTTTATTATTTTTTTAGCAAGTTGGTAATTATGGTGGATATGTTTTGAAATAAAACTGTTCCAAATGCTATTGGTTCACATTCATAACATTAAATGTTGGGAAAAAAATTGTTTACAAAACGAAATGGTTTGAATATCTTACCAGATTAATTTCGTAGTTAAACTTTTGGCTTAAAAATGCCCTTATATCAATGTTTTTTGCCATATTTTAAAATGGATCAAGGTTTTGACAAAAGTTTTGTTGCGTTAAGGTATATTTTTAATTATGTTTTCACGGATTATGTTTGTAATAAAATAACTAGCTTTTTATAACTATAACAAGTTTACTTATATACAACTGTTTCTGAGCTTATTGTTTTAAAATTCTTATAGCATTTAACTAAAACATTATTTTATTAAACAGGTTAATACTATAAATAATAGTTTTGCCACAGAGCTATATAAACATTTTTTTTTTTGCTATAAATGTAAATAATTAAAATATTACATTTTTATTTCTTCATAAAAAAAAATCTTCAAATTGAAGCTTTAATTAAAAAGGATCTTATAAGTTGATTCTATTGTTAACTAGAATCAAATATAATACATTATTGGAGACTATAATATAAGAGAGTCCTCAAGAAAGATTTGAAGGAAATATTTTTGAACTACTTAATTTTGGAATTTATGCAGGTGACACTATCTTATAAGATCATTTAATATCTGCCCCTAAAAATTTCACATTATTTCTTACACCACACAAAATCAACTTATGGAGTGTTGTAGTGAGGCTTTTGAGAAGATTCTAATTTCTGAAATCAATAATAGTAAATACTATTCAGTTTTAGCTGATAAAGCATCTGATTGTACCAAACTTGAATAGTAGTCTATCATTATAAGATATATAGGCAATAACTATAATACTCATAAAGATTTCTTAAGGTTTGTTGACTGTCCTTAATTATTTAAATGTTCCCTTAGCCGGAAATTACTGGCATGTTTAAATAATTATCTTTCTGTTGGTAAAGCAAAGCTAATCAATGTCTGTTTTACTTATTGGGTTTGAAAACAGAAAAGTCTAGGCATTTTTTTTACCTAATGACTCTTCATAGTTGATGTTTGAATTTTATTTAAATGTAAGTTTAGTTTTTTTAATTTTTTATATTGTAATTAGACTCCAAGATAAGCAATATGACATGTCTCAAATTTCAGAATCTTGAAATTGACAATTAAAAAAACATGCTTCAAGAGATTAAATTTAGTATTGATTTATATCGCTACAACTGGTCTAATATTGCTTTTGAATTAGCTCTGACTTTAAATGTTAAAGAAAACAAAAAACTAGAAAATGTGGAAAGCAAATCAATCATGATAATCACTCATCATCTGATTATTTTAAGCTTTCTATCACTTTACCTCTACTGGACCATCTTGTTAATGAGCTTATAAAACCCCGATCTTGTATTTTATAAACAAAACTTATGACAATGACTGCTTTCTCCAACATTCTCGATTATTTTAATTTTATAGGTTTATTTTAGGTTATTTTTAATTTTAGGTTATTTTTAATTTTAATAGGTTATTTTTAATTTTATAGGATTATTTTAATTTTATAGGTTTAATTCTAGGTACAATACCTAGAATTAAACCCAAGAGATTAAAAACTTAATAAAGAAGTAGAGTGTTAAAAAAATAATTGAATGACCTAGCTTTAATGTCAATTTATACCGAAATGGTTCTAGATAAAGACAGGGTTAACAAAATTTTTTCAGCTTTTGGAGAGAGATGTTTAAAGTTGCTATTTAAGCCTTAAATAATTGGCTATGATTGAATAATAATTATATTTATATGTGAATAAAATAACTATATATCTCTTATATTTACAATCATTTTTTTGTTTTTTTCAATGTTTAATTTTCTCTTAAAGCATCTTATTTTTTATTTGTTATAAATGTTTAATAAATAAGTTTATTTTCTATTTTGTTTACATTTCATAATCCTTGACATCTAAAATGTTAAATGTTTTAAAAATTGTTCTTAACTAAATAATGTAAACCACTAAATAAAAAATTTAAATGTGTGTTAATTTCGTTAAAGTATGCTACAAAAAGAGTGCTCGATAATCATAAAAAACAAAGATGTAATAAATTAGCTTCCTGAGGATTCTATAGATAGTGAGATTGTTCAAATCTTTTTTTTTTAATATATATTTATATATAGTAGTATACAACAACGTTTAAGTAAATATCTTATGAATAAATCACGATATCATATTGTTATTACAGTAATAGTTGCATTTATTCTATTTGTTTTATTAGTAACACAAATATAAAGGAAAGAATCCAGAATTAGAGAGCTAACTTTAGGCAGCATAACAACTTACATATGGAGTGCAAAGTCTTATGGCTTACCTTCTAGTTGGTGCACTTCGTTAAGTAAGTTAGACATTATGTCTAAATTACGAATAGAATAGCCAAGGCAAATTTTAGATTTTAATATTAATTATTTTACTAGAATCCATTATAGATAAATGAAAAAAGTATTTGTGCAAAAAGTGAATTAAAGACGCTCAGATAAAAAAACTGTCTGGCGGCGTCTACATGACGTAATTGTCAGACATCTTTTTGACGTAGACAAACCGACTTATTAAATAGTTGCAATTATGACGTAACTTTACAATATATACATATATATATATATATATATATATATATATATATATATATATATATATATATATATATATACTGAAATAAATATACAATTGCTAGCTAAAATTTGTTAATCGGAAGAAGCAAAAGTGAATGGCGTGGTGCCAGTAAAATGGTATTTATATGATCTAGTCTCATTTAAGTTAGTCGCGGGTAAGTGTTTTAAAATGTTTTACCGTTTATTTTTTGACTAACTTTTTAATGTATTGTGCTTGAAGAACGTTGTTTATTACATATTAAATTAAAATAGTTATTTTTAGGCGAAAAATATAACCTGTAAACAATTTCTCTCTATATTTACTTGTTCAAGTGCCAGTGAAATGAACGAAAGAAAAAAAGAAGCATTCAGTAGGCTTTCAATTATTTTTTTAAAAATATATTTTTAAATGATTTGAATAATTTTGTTGTTTTTATTTAGTTGAATGATGAAATTGTTTATACAAAAGATTGGCTCTTTAACATATATGTTATTTTATTTAAATTTTAATATGTTACTTTCTTGTTAACTGTTGCCTGTCATTAACAAAGCAATTAAAAAAATTCACATAATTACTACAGATTTATCTTTAGAACTGTTCGCAATGTTTTTGGTTTGGATACAAAAAATCAAGTGAAAATGATACTGAAAAAGTACACTTTCTTATATTTAAACATCATTGCAGCTTTCTAGTCTTCATTTTTGTTTATGTGTATTTCATCTGTGTTGCTAATAATATCCCCAGTTTTTATGATTTTATGTTGTTAAATAAAGCATCCTTATGTTTCAGGCTAAAATAGAGCTTTGACTAATACTTTTTTCCAGTTTAAATGAATAAGAGCTCTCAAGGTGTATTAGCTGAATTATCTTTTTGTTTTGGTAGTCTTTAGGCAATAACAGATTTTTAAATTGTCAGTGGCGGATTAAGGCTTTTTGGGGCATAGGGCAATTTTTCTTTGAGGCTTTTTTATGGGCCAGAACCTAAAAATGACCAAAAAAAAAAAAAAAAAAAGTTTCTTTTAAGATAAAAAAAGATGTCTTTTCGATGTCGAAAAAAGATGTCTTTTAGATTTGCATAATCGATTAAAAAAAGACGTCTTAAAGATATCATGAATAAGACTTTTAAAGACGTCTTCTCGACGTCTTTGTTCCCGTTATTCAAATCGTTTTATTCAAAATAATTAATCATTAATCAATGAACCATTAGATTTGAATCCATTTGACAACTATGTATACTTTTGAGTGCCTATCACCTACATATCTCGTGGCGTCATCGGAGGTATTATAATCGGTATACCCCTCCAACATTTCATCTAGTTTTTGGCCTCAACAGCTTCGATTTAAAGTTTGTTTCTATAATCAATTAAAGGAATTTGCTTCTATAAGTTAAAATGCTGAACTACTTTTAATTCAAACCAAAGAAGCAGCATGTCACAACAGCATGTCTCAACACCATCTTAGCTCTTTGGCCACTATATTGATTGAGAAAGCAATAGCTTGTCAATTTGATTTGGATAAAGTGATTGATCAATTTGTAAAGAAAAAGGCAAGAATAAAACAATTTTTAACTGTTTGTTAGAAATTAAAAATATCTATAATTTTAGAATAAGTTTTTTTTTTAAATAAATTGCTATTTCAATAAAAATATCTTTTCGACAATAAAATGTTTATTTTATTGTCCAGATTAGTAGAATGTAAACATATACTGAAACTACAATAAGATGACTAAAAGCGTGGATTTTTCCAAAGAAAGACGTGAAATGTTTAACGATATAAAATTTTGAATCAAAATTGCTAACCTAAATCTTTACTTTATTTCTACTGGATTAATAGCATCAAGATTGCCAACTATTCCTATTTTGGTACCTTCAAATTGGACATTTAGAACATATAAAGTTTTTCTATTCCATATTGTATATAACCCTTATGATTTAAACAATTTTTTTTAAACTTTTCTCAACCAACTTTGAGAAAAGAGAGGGCGCACCAATTTTACCTGCTCCAAGCGCTACATGCTACGCCACTGTATATGTATATATCTATATATATCTATATCTATATCTATATATAGATATATATATAGATATATACATATATATCTATATATATCTATATCTATATCTATCTATCTAACTATCTATCTTACTATATCTATCTATCTATCTATCTATCTATCTATCTATCTATCTATCTATATATATATATATATATATATATATATATATATATATATATATATATATATATATATATATATATATATATATATATATATATATATATATATATATATATATATATATATATATATATATATATATATATATATATATATATATATATATATATATATATATATATATATATATATATATATATATATATTCCACTATTATTTGGGAGAAATGAGTTCAAACTTTAGTAAAACTACAACTTCAATCCAAATCTTAAAAAAACAGTTACTTGATTATGACGTTTCTTAAATACTATTTTATTTTTAATTTTTATTTTGTTCTCTCTTATTTTTTATTTCTTTAACTTTTCTTTTTTGTTAAAAAGCGGCATCACACTTTATATCATTACTTATCTTTATATTCATATTGTATTGTATATATATGTATTTGTGTGTATGTGTGTATATATATGTATATATATATATATATATATATATATATATATATATATATATATATATATATATATATATATATGTATTTTCTTTTATGATGGATAATTTTTTCTTTGTTTGATATGTAAATGATATAACGGGGCTGGATGATAAGAGTTTTGTCTTCTGCCTGCCCCTGTCATATCTTAACTCAAAATGAATATATTGTAAATAATTTATTATAACAATGACGAAAATGTAAAAAAAAAAAAAAAAAAAAAAGAAAAAAAAAAAAAATCACAATAAAAGTCGTGTATTGTGTTTACATTTTACATTGGCTATTGTTGCTGTAAAGAGAAAAATTAACATAAAATCAATCAGGAAGAGAAGGCTGCTTAAGTGAAAATTTGAGAAGGATTGCCAAAGTTTCAGGTTGCTATGAAATGTGGTGTTCCAAAAAATACGCTGTCAACATGGATCAAAAGTAAATAAAAATTTTTTAAATCTATGAAGATGCAAGGGAACAAGTTAAAACGTATAATAATTAAAGAAGGAGCATTTTCAAATTAAGATAATCTTGTTTTTAAATGGCTTTTAAATGTAAGGAGTAAAAACGTATCAGAATCAATTATAAAAAAAAGAAGTGAGAGAGCTTGCTAAAAAGAATAATATAGAAAGATTTCAAGCGTCTTATGGTTGGCTTGATCATCGGAATAACAAATATAATGTTTCTTTCAAAACAATCTCTATATCCATGGAACAAATTTCCATACAATTTTATCCAGGTTTGAGCTTGATGAATTATTTTTTCGTATGCAACCTAATAAATTTCTAAATCTTCGATCTGAGGGGTGTAAAAGGAGAAAGCACAGCAAAACTCGTCTTCCTGGGATGGCCGCAGCAAAAGCAGTGCGTGATAAAATTCCTATGTTTGTAATAGGTAAATCAAAATCGCCTCGCTGCTTCTAAGAAATTAAGCACTTACCTTGCACATACAGAAATCAAAATAAAAGCTGTATGGATAGCGTACTGTTCAATGAGTGGATACGGAAAATAAGTATAAAGTTTACAAAATAAAAAAAAAGGTAGGGTTTATAACTGCCCAGCACACCCTGACAATTGATAACCTAAAATCAATTGAGCACATTTTTTTTACCACTAAACATGGCCAACGACTCGGGTATTGAAGTGAAGGGACACAGTCATGCATTTCTAAAAAAAGTTTTTTAGAAATGCATGAAAGAATTTTCTCTAAAAAGAAAAAGATCCTTTAGAAAAAAAGTGCCCTCCCCCAGCATTTTTAGAAAAAATTTCCACCCACCCTCAAGTTTATTAAACACCCCCCCTCATCCGTTTATTAATTTTAACTTGTTATCAACAAAGACTTTATAGCTCAAAACTTAAAAAAAATACATTGAAAATCTGCCGTAAAAATTAGCAAATATTTCTTTCAGTCACTGATAAAAGCAAATTTTTTTGTGTAAACAGGCTTAAAAAATTGCTTATCTAGTAAACCTCGATTTGTCTAAAATAAACAGTTGGTTTATTTCTCACTAAAATATAAAACTGATATCAGCATTTATGATAAAATGCGCATTTGACCGCAAAACACGCTAGAATGCGTCTTTTGTAAAGAATATTATTTTTTTATTTATAAACTGAATTTTTTTTATAAAAAATACTTATATTGTATCATAAAAAAATCCCCCTCCTTCTATTATTAACACCTTCCTCCTCCCCGTTCATTAAATCTAGACTAAAATTCCCCTGTTCTTCTATATATATTCCACCCCTCCCCCATTTATTAAGGACTCGAGAGTAAACTTCAACAAATGGATCAGGGCGTTATACTCTCTTTGAAAACTTACTTTAGATCTTTGAAATTACAAAGACTGGTTGTAGCTATCAATAAAAGAAAAGATCTTTTTTTTTTAGATGCAATGAATTATTTATCCTATTTTTTTTAGATGCAATGAAAAAGCTTGATATTGCATGGCAAAAAGTGAAAAGCTCCACTATCGTTAATTGTTTTGCAAAATCAGTAATTTTGGAATACCAACAAAAACTGCTTATTTGAATAAAGACGACGACTGACTTAAAGAGCTTCAAAATCAGGTAGAAAAATTTGATGGCCTTTTCCCATAAGGTACAACAGCTGAAGATGCCATTTCTGCAGATGAAAACTTAATGAGCACAGTACCTTTACAACGTTTATTTCTAAAAAAAGTCCTCTATATCTAGAACTTTTTCAGGGCCGACAACGCCGGTGGGAGCCCCCCGGCCCACAGCGGCATTAATGGCCGTTATTGATATTCGGGAAGCACTACAATTTTTTAATGACTGCCCTTCAGTCGTAACGGTGAAAACTTTTATCAAAAGCTCAATTCAGTCTCAATTATATTCGATAAAGACGTTTCTTAAAAAATAAGACCGAGTGACGTAAGAACATTTTTGAATTTATAATATATTGTTTTTACCTTTAATTTCAAAACTTCTGATAACTCGAATCGTTTTTAGTGTCAGCAAAAATTTGTATTATAGAATGTCTCGATAATTTAAACATTCGCTAACTTGAACTATTTTCTTGGTCCTTCGGAGGTTCGAGATATCGGGAGTTCACTGTATATATATATATATATATATATATATATATATATATATATATATATATATATATATATATATATATATATATATATATATATATATATATATATATATATAAACAGTGGTGGATTGAGGTTTAGTGTCGCGGGGGGCCAAGTCAATGAATAGAGGCTACCGGGGTTGTGCCGGTAATTTGATCTTATAATTTTTTTTTATTTTGATTGTTTTAGGGGGCGTTCTAGGGGGGCGTGGGGAGCAGCTACTTAAAATATACTTGAGGAGTTATTTAAAATATACTTGAGGAATTAAAACAAATGCCCTTTGAAATATATAAAGCAAAATAAAAAATAAAAATAATAGAAAAACCTTTGTATTTTGTATAAAATGTTTTTTTTGTTCTGTAATAATAATAAACAATAACAAAATTAGTAGATTTAAAACATTATATATTTATATAGAGTATGTACCATACTCAATAAAAATATTTAATGTTTAAAAATAATTGTTTGAGTCAGATTTAAAGTCACGTTGCTTACACTTATATTCACCATTAGATGTTGCTCTAGAATCTTTTTCCTAGTGAAACATTTAATTTATCTTTGCGCTTTTATATTGAAGGTTCAAGGTTTGCATGATTATCATTCAAAATGCTTTAGAAATAAGACTTAGATCAACAGATGATCAATCCTGCAGTGGCAAGCGAATACTAAGAGGTTCTTTATCGCAAGAAAAAATTCCACACTTTGCAAAACCTGATATCAAGTTTTCACTAGAACTTTCTTTTATTAGTTCCAGGAATATTTTTAAAAGGGATGGAAATTGTCCTTTGGAAGTGTTGTGGATTTTTTTACCTGCAGGCGATTCTTTCCTCAAAGTCAAAACGGTTTCCCAATTACTTTTTAATGGCCTAAAATTGACAGCTTAAAGAGGCTGTGTCAAATGGGATGAGTTAGGTGGTAGACACACAAATACTATGTTATTTACTATAAAAAATTTTAAAACATTCTAACTGATGTGTGATGGCAAGTTATCTTCAATAAGAACTTTTTTTCCGGTCTGCTTTTTCAGTAAAGGAAGCAGATAATCAGTAAACCATTCCTTAAATGTGACACTATTAATCATCCATTTTCTGCGCGTTATACCTAGTTCCATAGGGACTATTTTTAATCCACGTTGTCCACAAATATTGCGATTTGTAGACAACGTAAGTTGGTGCTGTACATCCAGCAGCGTTGCCACAAAACATGACTGAAATATTGTAATTTGATGAGTTTGTTTCTCGCTCAGGGTTTTTACAGCCTCTGCAACGTATATTTTTTTTGCCTCCTTTTTCATCACTTAAATTTGTTTCATCATAGTTGTGTATAATTTCTGCTAGTGCATTTGTAACAACTTGGGTGAGTTTTTTAATATACCCGGTTAAGGTTTTTTCATTAATAGCAGGCCGATAGGGTTTTATATTGGCTGCGAAATGGATATCTTTTTAAATATAAATTAGGTTGTTGCCACCTCTATTTATTTAAAAAATGGTTGCTGAGCCAGCGCTGGATTTATGTAACTAGCATATGGTTGTAAAATGGAATAAAGTTAAAATCTGTAGTATCCATAACATTTTTAAGTTTCCTAGTTACCCCATCAATATTTCGAGACCTTTCTCCCTGCTTGTAAGTATGCTTTAAAGAAAAAAAAATTCTTCTATTGGATTAAGCTGTGGCGTGTATGCTGGCAAATACTTAATAGCTATATTATGAGAGGCTAGTATTTGCCTAACAGAAAGACTCCAGTAGAATTTACAACTGTCGATAACAAGCTCCGGCGCTTCCACATCTGCATTCCTAATCGCTCGTGCCAACATTGTAGTAATAAAAGTACAAAATGAATCTACATACCAGTCTCCAGTTTTTATTTCATAAGCCAGCACTCCAATTGTTGAAACAGCACAAATCAAACTAACATTCTTGCCACAATTTGTAGACGACTGTACAATTGCTGGCGCACTTCTTAGCGAATAACTATATGTGCTGTTATCATGCACACTAAATCCAGTTTCATCCAAATAAATAAGTTTTTCATTTGAAATTCCGTTATTGGTCATACTTAGTATTGTAGCGATATTTTTTGCTTTCTAATTTGAACGTGTGGTCCAGTTTGTATATCGCTGGGCTGGACAAATCAGAAGATTACGTGTTCGAATCCGCATAAAAACATGTTGCCTAAAACTTCTTTTAATTTCATTTATTTCTAATGCAACTATTTTGTAAATGCCTATTTGCAATAATATTTAATTTGTAGGACTTTCTGAGTATCTACGTATGTATAAAAGCAAAAGTCCACTCAGTTTAGTATAATAAAAGCCTTGCGTTCGATCCAGTGAGTTAGCATATACTGAATTGATTTCATGTTTAACATTAAACGTTTTCTCAAAATTTTTCAATTGCATTATTTAGAAAAATAATATCTATTTAAAATACAAGTTTTAAAACTGAATATGAATTATAGACGGGTTTTTTTTTTATTTGAAATTATAAATCTTAATTTTGTAATACCCACGGTCGTTTGTAAGAGGAAAGTTATTATACGCATGCGCAGTGGAATTACATATCTTGAAGGTTTTTTAAAATGGCTACGGTAACAGGATTATAGAAACTAATCATTGACAACGAGTAATTTGTTTAATTTTAGATAATTAAATAGGTTTTTTTACTAGTTTTTTCATGAAATTATTTTGAAAATAGCTTGCAGCTGTACGAAGAAATTTTAAAAATAAAATACAAGATCTCTGAATGTGAATAATATCTACTTTCAGCTAAAGCAACTTTAGTTTTTTTGTTTACAATTTTTAAACCTTTTTTAAAATATTTTTGAGCGTAGAAATTTTTTAATTTAAATTTATTCAGCAAGATGAACCTTTTATCTATTTTGTATTTTTTGCTTATATGAGGATTCAATTTTTTTTGCAGGGTTAAAAGAAAATCTTAATCATTAAACTTGTGTAACCTGTTGCTATGGTGCTCTTTTCCGATGTGGGTATATATATATATATATATATATATATATATATATATATATATATATATATATATATATATATATATATATATTATAAATTAGTAAAAAATCTCTTAACAAAATTTTATTTCATTTTACACTGTGTTTCATCAAGACTCATCAGAAATTTGCACTGTTCTTTTAAGAACATTGAGCACTCTATTTTGTAGAATACATTTTTAAATTAATTAAATATATATATATATATATATATATATATATATATATATATATATATATATATATATATATATATATATATATATATATATATATATATATATATATATATATATATATATATATATATATATATATATATATAATATAAATACTTATCTATTTTTTGATAAACCTTCTGAAGGAGTTGAACAGACTGTCAAAGAGTGCTCATTATTCTTAAAGAAGAGAGCATAGTATTGTTATATGTTAGTAACATAATATTTTTATATGTTAGTAACATAATATTGTTATATATTGGTAACATATAACATATATATATATATATATATATATATATATATATATATATATATATATATATATATATATATATATATATATATATATATATATATATATATATATATATATATATATATATATATACATTAGGGCCCTGCAAATTGACATTTTTTGTTTCAAATTGAATCTCAAAGCAGATCTTGATTCGCGAATCAAATCATGAATCGAATCAGCTATTCGTGAAAACCAAGTTTAAGTTTGTTTTTTTTTCCAAAAAGATAAAAATATTTCTTTGAACAAATTCTTTTTGCTTGGATTATATTTTTGGCGTTTGTTTTAAAGTGATGTTAGAACTATTTTCAATTACTCTTTCTCCCCCCGGTTTGAAAAACCTATTTCAATTACATTTTAGCTTTAGAAATCTAAAAAAACCAGCAATATTCGCAAAATAATTCGCGAAAATATGATTTGAAAAAACTTGAATCTTTTTTTTTTTGACTCGAAGCGACACTTGATTCACGAATCGAAGCAATTCACAAGACCCTAATATATATATATATATATATATATATATATATATATATATATATATATATATATATATATATATATATATATATATACGCATACATACATTATATATTTATGCACACTTATCTATGATCAAAATTTTGAATGTTATTATTCCAGGCTTTTGATTTAGTCAATAACCTCAAATAAATCAACTGTATTGCCTGCATCAAAGCAATACCATTAGTTATGTTTTTGATTTTATCAATTGAATGCTATCATTTTGATTCTATTGATTGAATCATTAGTCTGGTTTTGTACATATTGATTCAAAATTAATAAATTATGATAAAAATTGATTTAAAACAAACAAATATTATAGTATATATTTTTTTAGTATTCCAACCATATTCGCGTTTCAACAAAGAAACTTACCTGTTGTAAAGAAGGGAAAAGTAAACTAAAGCAGAAAGACTTTTTCTTGGAACTCGATATATATATTTTTTGTGTTTCGTGTTTAATTTTTTTTTTTAATGTTTTTAGCTTGAGATTGTTAAAATCTCATTTATTTAAAATATTTTTTACTTAAAGATTGAAAGAATGAAAAATGTTTTTAATGCATAAAAGATATTTATATTTTCATTTAAATTATATTTTGATCTTTTATTTTGTGTTGATTGATATTTATTTGATGCATAAAATAAATTTATATTTTTTAAATTATACTAATGTTGCTTTTTTTTCTGTTTGTCTCTATTGCATTATTACGAATATTACAAACTTTATATAGCTTTATATATAAAAATTAAATAATTTATCAAAGTTATGCTTTAAGTTCAAAACTTGTTTGTGTTTTTATTTATAATATATATATATATATATATATATATATATATATATATATATATATATATATATATATATATATATATATATATATATATATATATATATATATATATATATATATATATTATATATATTATATATATATATATATATTATACATATATGTATATATTTTATATATATATATATTATATATATATATATATATATTATATATATATATATATTATATGTATATATTTTATATATATATATATATATATATATATATATATATATATATATATATATATATATATATATATATATATATATACATCAGAAAGGAGTATCATAGCAACAGGTTACAAAAAGTTAACGATTAAGATTTTATTTTAACCCTGCAAAAAAAATTGAATCCTCATAAAAGCAAAAAATGCAAAAAAGATAAAAGGTTCATCTTGCTGAATAAATAAAAATTTAAAAATTTCTACGCTCAAAATTTTTTTTAAAAAGGTTTAAAAATTATAAACAAAAACAGTAAAAGTAGCTTTAGCTGAAAGTAGATTTTATTCACATTCAGAGGACTTGTATTTTATTTAAAACATTTCTTAGTAAAGCTGCAAGTTATTTTCACAATAATTTTATTTTAAAAATAGTTAAAAGCCTATTAAATTATCTATAATTAAACAAGTTACTCGTTGTCAATGATAAGTTTTTAAAAACGTTACATCCGTAGCCATTTTTAAAATTCTAAATTATTTTTAACTCTACTGCGCTTGCGTATAATAACTTTCCACTTATTTCTAAAGTTTAAACGACCGTGTACCGTGTACCGTGACCGTGTACCGTGTTTAAACGACTGGGTATACCCAGTCGGCATTTGGTCCTAAAAAGACGTCTTTTAAACGTCCAAAAGACGTTTTTTATACGTTTTTCATTCATTGTTCAACGTCTTTTAAACGTTCATAAAACGTCTTTTTTGGACCAAATGCCGGCTGGGTAGTAACCTAATGATGATTTTTTTTTAAGCAAGATTTGGGCAAACATAAGTCGATATAAAAAAACATGGACAAAATATTCAATTGAGCTACATACAAATATTCAATTTTTATCTGAAGAAGCAACTCGTAAAAAGACTGAAAATTCATAAATGAAATATAATACTCATGTTAAGACGATTAATAATTTCAGGGACGAACTCGACTAAAAAAATGATACAGGAAGACCAAGATGCACAACAAAGGTAGAAAATAAACATATTTTAGTTGCGAGCAAACGTTATAGATGACGTCCAACCACTATGATTAAAGATTTGAATAAAGATAAACTTGAGTTGGATTAAATAGTCCCGTTGCATAATGAAAACCTGGGTGACGGCGTGTATAAAAACAAAGGCGGCTTAGGTGGGCAAGAGATAAAAAATAGTGGACAGTATCAATTGAAAAAAACAATTTTGGACTAATGAATTATTTGGAACCAGAAAACATCAGTATGTCTTATGTTTGAAAGCCGAACGTGTTAATAATAACTATTTGAGTTATACAGTGAAACACACTGGTGGTAATGTAATAACTTTGGTGGTTTTGAAGGAGAAAAAGTTGATGATTTACTTAAAATAAATAATGGATAAAAAAGTGTACTAAAGCATCGGGTGGACACGGAAAAATCCGGTCAATTTTAAATTGAGATTTCTCTAAAACCATAAATGTTTTTTGTTTCAATTTTTTTATTATTAAATGCGTTTACATAAATTAGAGTTTCAACTTAATTTTATGGGGCTTGATGGGTTGTTTGGCAAGAAATCGAACTTTATAGCGGGTTGATGCCATCATTTCACAATTTTTTTCTTTTTTCACCATATTGGTGATATTAATCCAATTTTTTTGAAAGTCCTTTTTATTATTTGTTACTCCACCTGTCTTACAAAGAAATCCTTTAACTATTGCCCAAAAATCTTCAATCTTGCGCTCTTCAGGACGATTTGGAGGATTCGCATCTTTAGGAGCAATTTTCACATTATTATCTTTGCACCATTGAAGAACTCTTTTAGAATAGTGAGAGGCAGCAAGATCAGGCCAAAAGAGACATCAATATTTGTGTTTTTTTATAAAAGGCAAAAGTCTTTTTTGGAGGCATTCTTTGATGTAGAGATTGGTAGTCGAGGTCTTTTTAGTGACAAAACAAGAGGACTGCATTCCACAGCTACAAATTGCTCGCCACACAAGGAACTTGGATGCAAATTTTTCCTTGTCGAATATATTTAAATTGATCATTGAGAGGTTTATTTTTGTTTTCATAATAAAACTGTTTACCAGGAAGTTGTGAAAAATCCACCTTGCAATATGTTTCGTCGTCTTCAATTATGCACATATTTTAATCCGCCATAATTTTAACCGACTTCTTTGCGCGTCGAATTCCTTTAATTTCACAATTTAAGCTTCTCTTAAGTGTATTTTTTTAATGAAATGCTTTAATTCCAGTATTTTTAAGTACTTTTTTGATATTAGAACGAGAAGTCTTGAATTTTCTTGCTAGTTCTCGCTGTGACTGGTTTAGATTTCTTGCTATTAAACGTAAAATTGACTTTACCTTTTTGAATTTATGGAAAGTTTTTTTCTTCTACTTTAAAGTTTTCTTTCGAAGCATTGAGTAATCTTGAACTTGATTATAATATCTATGACTGTAGATTTGGGGACATTTGTGCGTTTAGCAATCAAGCGATTGGAAGTCGATGGATTTTAGCAAAAATAATTCACAACTTTTTTACGCACCTCAAATTGTTTTCAAAACATTTTGCAAATCATTAATTTGTAAACAAAAATTTATTAGGAATTAAGGTTTAATTAAAAAAAAAAAAAAAAGCATTTGTGGTTTTGGAGAAATCTCAATTTAAAGTTGACTGGATTTTTCCGTGTCCACCCGATATTTTGATTCATCAAGCGATGCCATCTGGTATTCGTAATATTGGTAGTTTTTTTAACAAAAAATTACCCTAAGCACACTTTTAAATTATCTTTAAAATAGTTGGAGACAAAAAAAAAGCAGCAAGTGCTGAAAATCACGATATATCAGGTTACTGTGGTTTCCACAATAACCTGATATGAACCCTATAAAGAAACTATTAAAGTGCTGGACGCATAATATGCCTAACTAATATAAATAGTCTCTAGGAATGTCTCCAAGATGTCTGTTAAAATTTAAGGAGTGAAACGTTTCAAAAGTTACTTTATCGAATGCCAAACCTCTAAAACTATCCACGCTAAAGTTATCCACGATAAAGGTGGTCATTCATCGAGGTGGTCATTCATCGAGGTGGTCATTCATCAAGGTGGTCATTCATCGAGGAGATTAGAGTAAAAATAAAAGTTTTGTTTATCTGTTGTTTACTTAAAAGTTTTTGTTTATAGAGAATTAAAATATTATCGAGAAATGTATTGCTAATAACGTGTTGAAATAAATGAGCATAATTTGTTTTTTTATAGGCGATAAAAATACATTGACCAAAGACTTTTTGCACGCTCGTGTATTTATTAAATCAAGTTTTAAGAAGGGTATATTTTTTCTATATTGTATACAGTACTAACTTTAGTTTCATATCAACAACATCGCCTTACTGAAAACATAAAACCTCTTCAGAATAAAGTTCTGGTTCATCAAAACACTACAAACCAATGATATATTATATAAACTAGATGCCTAACTTCGATCTGAAAAGTGAAGCCACTTTTTGCCATTTTTACAAACGGCAGATTAAATTTGTAAACAAATATTTTTAACTTTTATTTTCTTAAATGAGGTAAATATATTTTAAATTAAAACACTATTTATATAAAAGTCTTTAGCAGAAATTAGAATACTTGTAAAATAATAATTTATGGTTCCTTAAATTATTTCCGATTAAAAAAAGGGTAAAGTTTAGAATAGAAAAGTAGAACGACAGACCTTTCCGAAGCAATTTTATGAATTAAAATACTTTTTAATAAACATAGGCTCATTAAAAAACTTTTAAAAGTATTTTATAATTGTTAAAACGTGTTTTTGAACTATGTTTAATTTGTTGGGAACTATTGACTTGCATTTTTAACTATTATTCCACCCTTTTTTTTTCATGAGATTCCCTTTTTACAAATGGTGGACTATTTTGATAAATACAAAAAAAAAAGCTTTATTTTTTGTCCAATAAAATACCGCAAGATAGACATCAAGTTGTATAATATATCATTGCTACAAATTAACGCAAAGTTATTATCAGCGTTAGTTTGTAGCAATGACATTTTATATCATTGTACAAACTAACAAGCGTGGACTCGCTCGCCTCAATTTCTTTTATTAAGAACAAAAGTCATTTCTAAAACGGCATGCTACTCCACACGAACTTTGATACAGAGTGAATTTAAAAGTACAGAACCCTTTACTGTCTAGAGTTGCCATATGACCGTCAGGAAGTTTTAGTAAAAAAAAGGTATTTTTTCCATTCTTTGAAGCTTCATACCAAGTTCGATCATAGTTGTTTTTAAAAGTGCATTTATTTGATCACAAATCTATTTCAAACATTTAAAATAAGCTTATACTTTGAATGACTTGGATCCGTTAAAAAAGTAGGTTCCTTAATAAAAATAAAATTTTATTCATTTAGAGGTATATATATATTTGTTTTTTAAATATTTTTTAAACATTTTTTATTTGTCTCATGGCTATGAAATCTAGTAAAAATATAGAGGTTGTTATTTGGCATTTTCGTACAAATGCGAAATTTTATAATTGTTTTATACCATTTAAATCTTTATTTTTTCTTTTATCTATTTAATGTTTGTTAAAGTGTGATTATATATCTAGTCATGTTTAGCGTTGACACGCAGAAAAGGGTTGCATATTTATGCAGTACAAGTCTGCATATTTAGCCTTTCTTAGCATATAAGCTTGAATGTTTAGATGTTAATAACGTTTTCGATAATTTTTTCTAGAAACATGGAAAGGCATATAAAATTCAGATCGGATCATTTGACATATCTTGATCTTGATCAGTGGCTAGATATTTAGCGCTTGGAGCAGGTAAAATTGGTGCGTCCCCCTATGGAATAGAAAAATATGGAATAGAAAAACCTCTAATGTTCCTAATGTCCAATTTGAAGATACCAAAATGGGTATTGTTAGCAATCTTGATGCTATTAATCCAGTAGAAATAAAGTAAAGATTTAGGTTTGCAATTTTAATTCAAAATTTCAAATCGTTCAACATTTCACGCCTTTCTTTGGATAAAGACGGTGTTGTGGCAGCTGCTTTTTCAGTTTGAATTATAAATAGTTTAGCATTTTAGCTTATAGAAGCAAATTCTTTAAAATAGGGAGAAAAAAAATTTCGATCTGCTACCTGAGAAAAAACCTGACTAAAAAGTCTGACTAATTCTGACAATGATTACAGTGGTTTAATCAGAATATTTGTATCACGTCAGGTTTTGGAGTTATATCACTTTTACATTTTCGGTTTTAATGCATGTTGTAGCAGCTTTTATATTGTTTAATACTGATGTACATTTATTGTGCTGTGTACTTTCCTTTTAAATGTTATTTTATTTTTATTTTAGATTGATCGTGTAGTATTTTCAAAACAATACGAAGAAAGTTAAAAGGGGTTGCTTGAATTATCTAGACTATTTCTGTTACATTTTTCTACCCGTGATCAGCGGAAACAATTTATAAGAAAAATAAAGGAAAAAAAATAAAAATATTTTCACTACTTCGGCGTCAAAGTATGTGATCAAGAAAGAACCTGGGCGCTACATATTTGCTACAGCGCTTGTTATGTGGGGCTCACCCAGTGGCTAAATGGCAAAAGGAAGTCTATGCAATTTGCGGTACCAATAAAATGAGGAGAGGCAAGAGATCATCATTCGGACTGCTTTTTGCATAACAAATATTGCTGAATACTGTGACTCTGCTTTGAAATCTGTTCCACACGAAAACAAAATCCAGTTCCCGATCCTCCAGTATGCCTTGATAGCAAAAGCGACAATGATGATGAAGAAAGTTACAGTGAGCTGGAGAGTGATGCATATGAACCTATAGATGATGAAAAGATACCTCATCTTATTGGTCAAGCTGAATTGAAAGATTTAGTGAGGGATCTGGGGCTAATGAAAAAGAAGGCAGAACTGCTTGGATCTCGATTACAACAACGAAATTTGTACAAAACGGAACAACAATTTCACATTTTCGTGAAGACATGTGCAGGTTGCTAATTTTTATGACAAGAAGGACAGTATCTGTTATTGTATTGGCATTAACGTTTTAATAAAAGAACAGGACTATGAGTATACATTAGGAGACTGGCGTCTACTTATAGACTCAAGAAAAGTTAGTCTTAAAGCAGTTCTCCTACATTTTGGGAATGTGATGCCATTTATCCCATTAGCACATGCAATCGGATTACATGAGACATGATTCTATGAAGTTGCTTCTTACCATGAATAGAGATCATAACTGGTGCCTCTGTGGGGATCTAAAATTAGTGTCCTTTCTTCTTGGATTGCAGCTGGGATACACAAAGTACATGTGCTTTCTAATTCTATGGAACAGCCGTGACGACAAAAAAATTTGCACAGTTAAAGACTGGCCAGCGAGAACTGATCATGTACCTGGCAGATACAATGTACGACACAAGTCTCTTGTTGATCCTACCAAAATACTACTTCCCCCTCTTCACATAAAGCTTAAACTGTTCAAAAATTTTGTGAAAGCTCTGGGCAAGGATTCGGGTGGCTTCGCTTATCTAAGAGAAGTTCAAGACCACTCTTACACCAGCAAAAATAAGTGCGGGTGTGTCCGCCGGACCTCAAATTCGTGAAGTCATTCGTGATCCCAACTTCAAGACACAATTTCAGACTGCTCAGTTGGCAGCCTGGAATGCATTTGTGGCTGTGGTTTCTAACTCTTTCAACCAACTCTTCATAGTTCTCAGACCTGTGAATTTCCACAGGCCTGAAAACTATGAAGAGTTGGTTGAAAGAGTACTAACAAAATACAAGGAAATGGGATGTAGAATGTCCTTAAAAATTCACTTTTTGCACTCCCATCTCAGTTTCTTCCCACCCAATCTAGGCGCAACCAGCGACAAACAGGGTGAACGTTTTCACCAAGAAATGGTAACGATGGAAAACAAATATCAAAGGAGGCATGACAGCAACATGATAAGCGATTTTTGTTGGTTTTTACAGCAACAGTTTGACACTAATTACAAAAGAAAAGCAACATCATCTAATTATTTTTGATTTCAAAGCTACTGTATTACGATTGTCCGAAGTTATTTGTACATATGTATATAATTATATAACTGCTTTTGCTCTTTTATTTACATAAAAAATTTTAGTTAATGTATTGAAACTTAGAAGCATTGACATTACATTTCTAATGACCATAAAGTGTTAAAATGGTAAATCAAGATGTCAATATAACTTTAAAACCTGACGTGATGCACAATTTTTAATGACATATTTGGAATCAGGTTGCAAAATGGTCTTAGTGCACTTAATACATCTCAGGTAGCAAAAATGTTGTTCCTTAGTGTTATAGAAACAAACTTTAAATCGAAGCAGTTGAGGCTAAAAAATAGATGAAATGTCGCAGGGGTATTCCAATTTTAACACATCCATTTCTTCCAGAATACCCTAATCAGGTGATGCCACGAGATATGCAGATGATTTATGGATTCAAACCTAATAGTTACTTGATTAATCACCATGCCCACTGAAACATACTAATCAAAAAGTGTACCGGACTCGCGTTCAAAGTGGTATGCTAGACATGCTAGAGAGGTATGTTAGACAAGCTGGAAAACGAATACGAAGCCGATAATAGTTTTTAATAGCGTTACAGTGTTTCCAGTATAATTATTTCAACAGTAAGTTAAAATGGCGTCTTTGCGATTTGAAAACAGGAAGTTTTAAATTGTGGTTTGAAAGCTTATAAAAGCTATAATTTATTAAATTACTTTAATAAAAATTGATTCGATTGATTTCTAACAACAGTTTTTCCTAACGTAATTTAAAGTTACCTAAACCTAATTTAACAAAAATTAGATCTAGAATTGCTTAGAAAAATGCTCTTGAATTGCAAAAATATAAGCAATAACCCACATTAATTATCTGTTGAACAAAATTTTATATTACGTATATACATATGCAACTTACTTAAGTTGCACAACATGATTCCTATTTTATTCTTTTTTTTTTCTCCCCCTTCTTCTTAAGCTATAGATTTATTACGTTCCTAAAAAATGTTTGTTTTGACCATGAACTTGTTTAAAATTTTTAAAATGTCATTTAATTGCTTAAGTACTTTCGCGGATATCAAACAGATTACTTGCTTGTTGCTACCCGGTGGGAAATCGGCAAGCGAATAGCTAGCTATAATCGTTACGATAAATTTAAGTAATACAATTTTAAATAATTTACAGCTTTTAAAAGCTGTAGTTTAATAAACTTTCTTAAAAGTTGATTCGATTGATAACAAATGTTCTCTCTAACTTAATTTAAAGTTACCTAAACTCAATTTCACAAAAATTAGACCTAGACTTGTT